CTTAAGATAAGTACCTCCAAAACGCAGATGTTCTTTTCTAAGGTCATTGACGAAGTCACCCAAACCAGCTTGGCTACTTTGTGCGGCTTTTCCAAAGTAACCGACTTGGGCCGCTATTTGGGGATGCCCCTCATCAATGGCCGCGTCAACAAATCCACCTTCTCCGGGATTTTAGAAAAGGCGGAGGGTCGGTTGGCTGGCTGGCAAGCAGCATCTTTATCGGCGGCTGGCCGTGTCACGCTTGCCCAGTCGGTGCTGAGCTCTTTACCGTATTATTCTATGCAAACGGTTAGCTTACCCGGGTCGGTTTGCGAAGGAATTGACAAGATTTGTCGTTCGTTCGTGTGGGGCGGTTCGACTACCAGACGTGGTTTGCACTTGGTCCCGTGGAGAGATGTCTGCAAAGCCCGTGAGTTTGGTGGCCTCGGACTAAAGGATTCCCGGATGATGAACGATGCCCTGTTGATGAAATTGGGCTGGGCCCTCTTAACCAAACCTAACTCACTGTGGGTTCGGGTGTTGTGTGCTAAATACAAGCTTGACCCTCTATCTATGCCTAGTGACTTCAAGTTCCCGAGAGGTTCGGTGTGTTTACGGGCAGTGGCGCGGATTTGGCCGAATATGGTGCGGGGCTGCCGTTGGATTTTGGGTAATGGCTTGACCTGCCGTTTCTGGCTTGACACTTGGGTTGGAACCCAACGGCCGCTAATCAAAGACGTCGTGGGCACTGTTCCGTCGGACATGATATTGAGACCGGTCGTCGACTTTGTGGACGTGAATGGATGCTGGAAATGGAGCAGCTTTGCTCCCCTCCTTCCGGCATTGCTGGTGTTGCGCATCGCGGCAGCTTTGCCGCCACAAGCTACCGCCGGCAGAGATCGCCTGGTTTGGGGACTCACGAGCCATGGAAATTTCTCGACCAAATCGGCCTATTCTCTTCTTACAGATCATGCGTCCCTCGCGGTCAGACCCTTATGGAAACTTGTGTGGCGGAGCCCGATAGCACAGCGTGTCCGACTTTTCATGTGGATTGCGGCTCAGGATCGCTTGCTCACAAATATGGATCGCCGGCGACGTCATTTGGCGACCTCCGGGGACTGCGCATTCTTCGGGGAGGAGGAAACCACACTTCACGTTCTACGAGACTGTACTGCGGCTCGTCTCATATGGTCTCAGTTGGTCCCAGCTCCGGCGTGTATCAATTTCTCGGCTTTCGACCTTTCTGACTGGTTCTGGTACAATTTGACCCCAGATGCGGCGTTCCGGGACTCGGATTGGCCGGTGACTTTTTCTTATGCGTGTTGGCGGATTTGGGCCTGGCGGAATGCATTTATATTCTCTAACATTTCATGGCGGGTGGATGCTAAGATTAGGGATATTCAGGGTCGTGTGGCTGGTTGTCTTGCCGCGAACGCCAGGTTGACGAAATTTGGTACCATAGCCCGACAATATGAAACTCGTTTGATACATTGGTCGTTGCCGCCTTCGGATTGGGTGAAAGTGAATTCGGATGGGGCATATTCATCCCATCTAGGGTGTGGTTATGCGGGCGGTCTCGTTCGTGATTCTCAGGGCCGCTGGCTCGGGGGTTTTATGATGAATATTGGTATCTGCTCCATTACCGGAGCCGAACTTTGGGGACTATTTCATGGGCTCTCTCTGGCTTGGACTTTGGGCTTCCGGAAGGTAGTGGCGGAGGCGGACAACAGTACCGTGATTAATATGGTTATGGGGCGTGAGGATGTGAGTGGGATCCATGACAGCCTCGTTCGGGCAATACGGGAATTACGGGACCGTGATTGGTCGGTGGATCTGGTGCATGTGTTTCGGGAAGCGAACTTCGCTGCGGATCATCTGGCGTCCCTAGCGGCGTCTGAACCCCTTGGGGTGCACCATCTTGTCGTTCCTCCTCCGTCCATTGGCAAGTGGCTGGAGCATGATATTATTGGGGTCGCTTATCCCCG